GGGACAATGATGTCAAAGCTGCAGCGCAAGATGGAGATCATCCCCACATTGGACACGCTCACCTTCTGCAAGACATCTGTCAAGGTCTTGTGGTATTCATCGGCACGGATGAACACAAAGGTGGCACAGTAGGCGATCTTGGCTCCGAAGGTCACGATGAAATAACCCACTTGTTCGGTCTTGGCATCAATGATGCCCAAACAACTGGCCATGTAGCAGGCGGCAAAGAACTGGAAGTGGATGATGAGACCATTCGAGAGCCATGGTCGTACACTGCGGCTTGGGAGATCTTGTGGCGCGGTCCGTTCAAATTCACGACTCCAGCCCATCATATCCAAGCTGGCCCAGCCATACATGAAGAAGGCTGCCATGATCAAGGTCCACTTCCTTTGGCGTTCGGCTCGAACTTTGGAGATCTTATGGGATCGAGGGTTATTCCCCTTTTGTTTGGGGGGAAAGGCCTCTATAAGTTTGCTTGGCTCTGTTTCTGGAGATCTCCCAGGAGAAAGCAAGGCGACAATGTATATGTATCCCAGTGGGTCAACGCACCAGTTTAACCAGTTCTTTAGTAACGCACCAGTTTAACCGGTGCTTTAGCAAAACTGGGGCTGGAAGCTTAAAAAGGCCGTGAAAAACCCGTGAAAAGAACGTGAAAAACCCGTGAAAAGCCCGTGAAAACAGGGTGAAAGGCCGTGAAAAACCTGTGAAAATTAGGTCTTGGAAGTTGGGAGGTGAAATGCGTCCTTTATGCTAACGCACCAGTTTAACCCGTCCTTTGGACTTGCTGTATATAAGCAATAATTACAATATATATATAATTATATATATATATCACCTGAACAAATGGAACCAGGCTTCAGCAAAGCTGACTCTGTGACAGTGGCCATTCATGAAAAAATGATGTACACATTCGTCACCACCAAGGGCCTTGAGATTTCCTTCACGGGCCGGCCCAAGCTGCAGTGGCCTGACAACAGGAACAGGATCGGCACGTTGATGCACCACCTGAAAATTTTGCGGAAACTTAGCCCTTTAGACAAATCAGGACACGTACTGCAAAGATCTTTTCTTTAATGCATGCTGCATGTAAAAACATGTAAAAACTATGTTCAAGTTCAAAATGACAAAGTGGCACACAACGCTGCTGAAATCTAATCTCAGCGGCTCGATGTAGCGCAAAGTGTAGACCGGCCTTCCCATGACGGTCATCCCATCGGCGTTGGTATGGACATGGGCCAAAGTCATGCCAGGACGTGCGAAGAAGTACTCCACCACAGCCAACCAGCCAAACATCAGCGCCAGCAAGAAGCTGGGCAAGCAGCGGCTTCGCAAGTGCGGGATCAACTCTTGAGTTCGCCTCAAGAACGGCAAGAGAGGACAAATCACGTTGTTTTGTACATCCAAGCGTGGCTATCTACCACAGGGTGCATGTGGCGCTTCTCAGAGTTCTGGTCTTTAAAGGGGGTCGATGCTGTTTTCAAGAAGATTCTAAGGAACATCAAGTGCATCTTAGTTTCGTGTCGTGAACGGTGGCACGGAAAGGTGTCAAAGAGAGACAAAGAGAAACAATAACCTACTGAGTTTCCAGAGGTAGAAACATCTTACTCATATCTAGCATAAACTGATCAATTCCCTATCAGTTCAAAAGGATGAACACGCAAGTTCGGGATCGCGGGAGGTCGTTTCTGGGAAGAAACGAACTCTAGGTCCATGCTTCATCGACAGAAAACCACCAAGTTGTTTCGTCCAACGATGGATGACGATGGGGAATAAAATTGCTTCATCGAGTTTCCTGGGTGTGGTCCCAGTGCGTCGGCACAGGCCGCTCAATCTGTGGTCCCAGTTGACCCAGGTGAACAGTGTGGATTTTCTCTCCAAAACGGTGTCCTTTTTCAGTGGCTGAAGAAGTCTACTGTTTGTTTTCTCAAGACAGATGCGTCTTGGCATGGTGATTGCGTTTCCTCGGTGGACCCTAATGGCAAAGTAGGTGTTCAGTGCTCAAGAGGTTGTCTGAGTTCTGGAGGGTAATCATGTCACGGAAGCTTTGGTTAACAACCTAGAATTGCCTAGAATAGGAAAAAGACAACCGATTTTGATGGTCCTCCACTTTTTGATCTTAAGAAAGCAACCTAGAATTTTATGAACCGTGATGAGCCTATGACACATGAAACAAATGGCAGCTTTGATTAGCGGTCCCTCAGCATAGGAATAGGGGATGGACCCTGGTGCACATCGGTGCGGACCGGTGAGCCCATCCAAAGAGGTGGGAGGGAATAGACTCGACACCAGGGGGAACCATTGAAGGCATGTGTTTTTGGGGGGCAGTGCTGGGGGTTTTCACCCCGGGTCCCAAACTGAGGTCTGGGGGGCATGTCTGTGCGTGTTGTATTTTTTTTGGGGGGGACACTTAGTTGTTTCAAAGCCATGAACAACAGGGTTTTCAGATTTGAGCCAAGGGAGCGACCAATGAGGCCGCTTCAACCCCAATGAGGCTCAACTTTTGGTTCTCAGTGATGCCAGGAGAACCCCAAAAAAAACACTCCAAACACTCCCTGGTGATCTCTGATTGCTCCGATCTCACTGGAGTCTTATACAACCCCCCAGCCGCCCCCGCGGCTTTTGCCTGGGCCCAAACGAACGCCCGCCCACGCCCAACGCGTGCCAGTGAGGCTACGCACCAACGCACTTCGATTCGGCCCAAGGCACTTGGTTCCCATGTAGGTCGCCACAAGACCACAAATCTCATTGCCGGACATGGCCACCAAAGCAGTGGAGGAGATCATGTGGATGTAGGCGGGATATGTCGCCATTTGTGAACGGCATACCTAAGATACAAAGATACCGTTTGGAGGAGCAGTCATGAACGGACTGAGATGGGAACCCAAGGAATTCGAGTGCTTGTGAGTTGTGCAATGTTTTCAAGTGTTTCTGTGGAAAGCATACATGGCGCAAAGAAACACGAGCGTACAAGGGTGTTAAGCAACCTGATTTCAGTGCGTTTCTGTTAGTGGCATACGGCATAACATGGCATAACAGTGAAGCAAAGTGAATGGAAAGGAAGGATTGATTTCCAGGAAATACTTCAGAAAAGCCGTGATGTCCAATGTTACATCAAAAACTAGGATAGGCTACGGCTAAGTTGTTTCCCCTAGAAAGGCGTAGGTGGAAACAATGTGCAGCAACTCGTTTCTGAGTATGAGGTCAAGTGCACCATTGAATGCCTATGCACTGTTGGTCGAAAAGTGATTTCAGTCTTGGGAGTCTTGGGGAACAGTTGTGAAATGCTGTGTTGGATTTTGCTCTGAACTGGCATCAATGACTCTGCTCTGTCACCGCTTAGTGGTAAACGGAACTCATGGTAAACTATTCGACTAAATTTCCAAACAAATTTCTTCTGCTAAACCTGCAGTCAATTCAATCAAAAGGTGTTAATTGGATGGTAGGGATGCCATTCTCCAATCACTCCACTCTGCAGCCCAGTGACTGAGAGGTCTTGGCACTGCTGTGGGTCTGCGATCTTCCAGCAAATGACCCAAGTTGCCACCTCTCTCGGGTCAACCATCTATCCATGCAAATCAAATCCCTTAAACTGTCAATTGGGATGAGCATTCCCGGAAAGACTACTGTAATTATAGGCTATGATTGTTGCTCTAGTATGAAAAGCATTACAGTAAATGCATAAAAAACATCTCAGACCACCCAGTCACTGTGATGGCGATCCATGTCGGCAAGTGCTTCAACAGGCTAGCCATCCAACTTAGGGTGGGATAAAAGTAGCTCGACGCCACCAAATGCAAGAACCGCGCGGACAGTGCAAATGAGCAGAAACGGCTGAGTTTCAACACTCCACAGCTTCATTGGTTTGTCTGAATTCTCACCCCCAATGACTGAAAGCATGGATGCAAATGATACCATTGACCCTACTAGGAAAGCAAGATCCTTGTCGCTCCACGCCGGTGATCACCGGTGGAGCCGAGCCAACCGGGTCTGAGGTCTCGTGAGGTCTCGTGAGGTCTCAGGTCGCCTCCTGTCAGGACTCGGATGCACTTCAAGCCGCCGATGCCGAGGGGGGATGGAGCCGGTCCTTGGGATGGGCGGCTGCGCCACACGTGAGGGGTGAAGGAACGGGAAGGAACGGCACAGGCTGTTCTTCGAAACATGTTAGACTTTTGAATGCTTGTGCTCAGGCAAAAACAGAAAGCCTTGAGATTTGAAGACTGGGCAAACCGAACGATTTCTGAAGAGGAAGCACCAATATGAACATATCATATATTTATATATATATATATTATAGAGTGTTTGCGTACACGAAAGCACCAATAGGAACCAGTAAGTATCTAGAGTGTTTGCGTACACGAACGCCCATCTTCCATCCATCCGGTCCGTCCAGCCAGTCCGGCGCCAGGGCTCGCAGCGCTGGGCTCACCCTGTTGGGACGACTCTGACAGCTGTGATATGCTGTGATGCTCAACCCAAGAAGTTTTGTTTGACTGTAGGATCTTGGGCAATGGTACTAAGCCTATAAGCACCAACGAACCTGTGATGAACAGCAAAACGAGTTTCACCCCCCTTCCCTGCAGAGCAAGTCCGTCTCCTGGTCCGAGGTCCAGATCGACCGGTCCCGGAGGCGTTCTGGTGATCCAACCGGCGTCTCAGGCCGAAGCCGCGAAGCGGCTGTACATCGGCTGACCGCCCAAGCCATGGGGCTGGACCTAGTTCTTGTGTCCCAAGTTGGTTCATCCGTGAAAAAATGCCTGAATCATCTCTCCCAAGAGTCACAGGAAGGCGTGCTAGATCAGCTTGAGACAAGTTGGGCCAAAGTTTCTACATCAGGTCCAAGCCATGTATACTCCGACTCACACATGAGAAGTGGAACCACCCTGTTCGAGGAAACTCGTCATCCTTTCGCGTCCATCTAGTTCCACCTCGGCATATGTGTGAGTGAAAGAGCCACACATGGCTTGGAGGGGGTCCTAGTCCTTGAAACCGCGGATTGGCTGAAGGAAGCTGGAATAAACATAAAACACATATTGCCCCGAGATCCGCGGAGACTCACCCAGTTCGGGCAACGAAAGAAGAACAACACCTCAATCAAGCAAACCAGGCAATCGAAACGTGGCCTCTGGGAATACCGGCGTCTCACCCAGAAACCCTTCCAAAACGGTCTGCCCCGGCCGTCTCTTCACCGGCCGGCCTCGGAGCGCTGCCTGGTCGGTCGCGTCGCGCCTGCCGAAGGCCAGCGGTGCATGGAGTTCGGGACGGGCACGTCGAGGGCCGAAACACATGGAGAAACCAAAGAGGCCTCCATGTTGAAGGCCCATCTGGGACTCCCCGCCCACCCCAACTTCCAAGGCGTCAGGTCAAACAAACACGGGCAAAGACATATGTGGTGGGGACTGAAATGCGAAACCCGGAAATAACGGCAAACCGTAAGTCATGACCCAAAAACCGGCCACGGCCGTACGACCAGGAAGCATCATCCAGTTGAAGTTTCAGGTATACAACTGAAGAATATGACCTATAGGGCGCGTTGTGGCATGTGCCATCATGCGCCATCTACTCCTTCAAACGGTTTTATCAAATGTCCTATGCCGGCTTGGTCACCTGAACGGAACTCGGATCAACTGCTTCAAGTGAATTTAGTGGAGAGACTTCCACAATGAGTTCAAGAGTTAATCGTTCATTTATGTCCACTTGCCCCTGTCTGCCGAAGGGTTGGTCCTCCCTTGGAGCCAAAGCTTCGTTGGAATGCAGGGGCAACCGAGGTTCCCAAACATCCGATCATGTTGGCTTCAACTTCATGAGTGATAGGTGGGTTATGAGTGTATTCACTCCATAGTAGTAGGTGGGTTATCATTTGATACTCTCACTGGAAGCCAATGATGGGAGTGGATGGCATGGCCCCTTGGATGAGCATTTTGCTCTACGAACCGGTGGTCTTCCACTTCCAGGCGGGGGGTGTAAACCTGTTGCAAAACCATTAGTCAAAAGAATGAAAAAACACATGAGGAAAGCAGCAAAGGCATAGTCCCGATCATTTTGCCGCAGCGCCTGAAGCGAAATGGGGAAGCCAATTGCCTGGATGTATGATCCGGAGATGAAGAACACACCAGGCATTTACCGTATGTTGATTTACCGTATTTTGGTAGTTCCAGGTAGTGTAGGATGTCTTCCCGCTCTACCACCCACACCCTCAAATGACGTGAGTCCCTGCATTCAGTCATAGTTACCACCACACATGCCTGTGGAAAGCACTGGGCCCTGGTTGAACCATGTTGACATTTGACAATATAAACATGCAAACGAAGCAAACAATCAGGGAGCCCAAGTTGCCATATGGTTGGGGTCCAAGTCTGACCCAAGTGAATTGTTTCTGGATCGTTGCGCCATGGGTTGCCTACTGAGAAAATCCATCCAACGCATACATGCTAGCAAGTGTTCTCCATCCCACTCGCCGGTGCAAAGGCCCATGATCTTTACTGCATGCTCCTTGAGAGCAAATCAGACACAAGCGGAGTTGTTCCGTCTAAACCTGTCAAAGCCCTGGATTTCATGACTCCTGACCCCCACTTGCTAAAGCAAGGACAACTCCAGCTAGCTGGTGCTAGCTTTCGTGAAAACCATGTTTGCAACATTGTCTCCTGTTGCACGTCTCCGATCCGAAACATAGCGACATAGATGCACCAGGGCTTTGACCGGATGAGACGATGAGACCCCTGTCTCTGCACCGCGGTAGGGACGCTCTAAAAACGTATAGAAAATACATCGGTCGTGAGCCTCGTGAGCGTTCAAAACAGCTCAGGTAGCCTCCTTTGGGGCTTCTTTGACTTTGGCGTCGGGCGTCGGGTCATTGCGGGGCCGAAGTTGGGGCTGATCAGTGAGCCTTGAGCCTTTCGCCACATCGAGTGGCCCCCATTCAATGGCTTGCCCCCTTCCGGGCCCCTTCCATGTAGATATATAGTTGATTCATCAAATCCCTTGAGGTCTGGAGATGTAAAACCGTTACATACATTCAGATTTTCGAAACAGTACCAATTTGGTCTACGCTATATCCACAACCTCGGGGCTGCTATACTGAACACACACATTCGTCTAAAACCGCCAGTGGAATATCGGAAAACTAGAGAAACATCCGCAGACACATGGTTTTCACGCTGCAAATCCCTGAAACCACACTGTGAGGACATTCCAGGTATATATCCCTGCATGAATTGTTATATGGTAAAAAACATCTCCACAAGGAGATCTTCTTGATCAATGAAAAAAAACAAATACACACCCCGGTGGAGATTAGATGACCCAGCTTCGATCGATCTTATACACCCAGCTTTACATGGATCGCTTTCCCCCGCAACCGGGCCCCGTTGAACCAACGGGGCCCCGTTTCGGATCAGCGATGACCAGCACCCTGACGACCGCAGAGTGTCTGCTGTTCTTGAAGTACGGCGCGTGTGCGGATTGATTTGCGTGTTTTTTCTTTAAACTTTAAACGAGTGTAGTAATTATGTTGTTAACAACATGTTAAAACCATTATATAATCATCTGACCTGCCTTCTCACGCTGAAGTATCCTCTCTCTATGGTGCAGGAACCGCCGGTCTCCAAAGGAGACCGTCACGTTGCACGGACGGATCGCCCCTCCCAGACTCCAGGTTCAACAACACCAGGTCAACACAATCCTCAAACTCCTCAAAGGCGTTCTTCACACATCGCTTCGGACTGATCATCGCGCACATCTTCATTGACATCTTCGACTTGGATTTCCATCTGCCTGGGATTTGCAGAAAATGCATGAGGGATCTGGATGGGTCAAGGCCAACCATCCTTCCATCCTTTCACTGGATCAAGTTTGCTAAACTCGACGGGGCGAGCTTAACGATTTGACGAGGCCATTGTTGAACCGGCGAAGGCGGCTTCAAATCCAAGAGCATCCCTGAAGAAAGGCAACCAAATCGAAACCAAACAACAAAACAAAGATCTGGGAGGAAGAGCCTGGTTCCTCATAGAATGTTATGTGTAAAATTGTGTAACCGATGAACTTTTTGGGTTTTCTGGATCTTGACTGGAAAACAATCAGAATCTGTGGAAGGATCTGAAGCTGCGATTATAGGAGTGCGAGGCCCAATAAACAAACTTCTTCAAATGGAAAAGGCAAATCCCCCAATTCGTTGGAAAACAAATCCAGCCCAAAGCTGCAGGAGAGCCTCACGAACCCTGGGTGTCTTTTCGAACCTAGAGTCAAGAAAGCGGCTGAGCCGAGTTGTGTTTCCAAACATGGGCCACATGCAAAAAACATATTGTTGTATATTGTATACTATATATTATATATATAACTGATGTTCCTATCATGTGAGAATTAACTTACAGTTTAAATCAAATTAATATGTAACATACATAATTTAGTTATTTAGTTATATACGTACAAATTAAATCAAGTTAAATCTGTGACACATGATGCCACTATCTACGAATGTATCAGGCCGAATGCCCACCAAGCTCCACCAATCAGTTCCCCTGACCTCTTCCCAGCTGCTCCTGCACTTCTGGCAGCAGAACTCGGTCGTCCGAGCTCTCCCTTCTGCTCCTCCTCCTCTCGGGCGCAGGGAGTTCAAGGTGCACGGGGAGCTTCTCGGCGGAGCTGTTTCTGCTGTTCAGCTGGAGCTCTCCCATGAAGCCCTGGCTCCAGTCCTGCGTCATCGCTGCCGTTCGGTTTGCACGCTGCACGCGACATCGCATGGTGGAGCACGGTGCCACCACGGACGCCACCACAGACCCAGCGGTGTAAGCTCGGCTTTTGGGGCACCTCGACTTTTGGGGACATGAACGGATTCTGCCATGTCCAGGGTAGATTCCTCAAGATGGCAACAGGAAAAAGCTGGTACACAGCTGGTTTTTCTGACCCCTAGCTGTGGATCGAACAAAGACTTGCTAAATCACCTGGTACCTGGCCCAGTTAGCCGCTACAGTAGCCCAGATGTGGGGCATCGGGCACTTGCCCAAAGCAAATATGCTCAGGTGGATTGCAAATCAGTCACTCTGTTCACACCAGGTTCCTCGACCCTTTGAGATCCCGAGTTGAGATCACTTAAAAAAGGGACTCTAAAGACGTCACGTTGAAGAAGCTGGCACTCTTATTGGTGCCTTGACATTGACCTGCCGCCGTTTTTGGCATTACATGCTGGCGAAACGCCAAACTTCAGGTGGTCTTTGCACATGGTATCACAGCCCTTGAGCAAGGGGAACAGGAGGACGTCACAAGATACGCCAACATCTACAAATCTATATCTATACCTCTGGATAACTGTAGAGGAGCAAAAACGCATCAATGTGATGGAGATTCAAATTGTAACACTCCCACGTTATTTCTTCGTCGCATTCCTCGGAAATTCCTGAATGAAGGAGATGCCCGCTGTGGACCAATTGAATCTGTTCTCTGTACACTGTACATGCAGCATCAGCTATCGCCGGTCTAGGAATCTCTGTACAACTGGATGGCAGTGGTCCAAATACTGCAGTTTCACCACACCTTCCAAACTGTTGGGATCAAATGGGATTCAATTTCACCTCCACTTCTCTCAAACCGTTGCCTCCTGTCCTACCGCGGATCAACCCATGGCACCATCGGCTGTTGGTGGGAGCCTCCCGAAGCCCTGCATGGGAGCCTCCGCGAGGCCCTGGAATCGCCATTCCATGCGAGGACAGGCCTCCAGGACGTCCTCCAGGCAGGGACCCCTGTCGAGCAGGTCGTGCTCGTCCGAGCTCAAGTCCAAGTCGCGAAGGTCATGGCCGGGACGACGTGGTAGTCCAAAGGAAGCGCGTTCAATGAAGTCGTTGAATTGCTCCAGGAAGTTCTTGGGATCAGTACCTTGCACACACAGATCCGCCTCAAGAGTCGTTTGAGACAGATCAACCTCAGACCAAAAGAGCTGCCTTTGGGCCCAGAGCTGCTGCGAAGCGGTGGCGAACTGCTCCTGCAAGCGCTGAAGACTTTTGAGTCGAGGGATGCTGGAAACCATGGCTTTCTCCTCTCGAAGTGACAGGCCACCTTGCCGCAGTTGACGTTCGACATGTTCGATTCCGCGTTGGATGTCGTAGGAGGCGGGGAAGAGCTTGTACAAACCGCGCAGCTCCGCTTTCTTCGCTTGCATTTGGCCTTTCAGCTTCGCAACGTGGTGAGCTCGTTGCCGAAGAAGTCGACTAGATGACTCAATGCGGCAGCACAGCCTGCCACGTGTATATTAAATGTTTTACATCACTTCACACTGTTTTATGCTGTTTTGGGGTGTATGAAAAAAAGAACTCGGAAGAATCCCAGAAATGAGCAGCTTGAGGCTAGAGCCAGAACCTGGCAAAAGCATGACCTATGAAGTAGTTCGGAGACTTGGCATGTTCAGGATGCCATGGTCAAAGCGGACAAGAACCACCAGCAAAATATGCATACCATCTGGCAAAATCAGAACTTCTGGTAAGTTCACAAGGCAGAATTTGAGTCACAAAAGAGCGCCTAGACTCTAGACCTGTCATCAACAGCCGCAGGGCAATATGGTGCATATTATGGCATACACACGTATGAATGCTTGCATTGAGTCTGAGCATGATGTGTTTGATCAAATCGGTGCAGTTGTATTGCAGTTGTAGCGATGTTCATCAACATGTCAGGTTTCCAAGAGCAAGACATTTCTTAGCAGCATAGGCGCCTTTCAAAGGCCATTCTCTCTTGGTCCACTGCTGCAAAGAGACTGTCCGAATACGCTGTGTGCTCCTCCTTCAACTCACTCAGGATCTGTCCGCCAGAACTGATCTGAACGGCGCCTGGAAGAACTCCCATGACCTTGGCCACCTTGGCCTTAGCAGCCTGCAAACCCTCTCCCACCTTGACAGTGACAGACCTGCCATTGAGGCAAAGCACTTCCATGGCGAAAGCAAAGCGGTGGTGGAGCGGAGCTTGAGGTCTGTTGCTTCACAGGAGCTATGGAGATGGATATCAGGTATAATCATGTATGAATATGGATGCAATCAAAAGAGCCATCGTTGTTGTTGTTGTTGTTGCTGTTGCTGTTGTCATTGTCGTTGTCGTTGTCGTTGTGGTGGTTGTTGTTGTTGTGGTTGTGGTTGTGGTTGTGGTTGTTGTTGTTGTTGTCGTTGTTGTTGTTAACTATGCATGTATGATCATGTATGGATGTATAGATGTAATTCTGTGCGTTCAGTGCCTCTTCACAGCGAGTCCCAAGGTCCAAAGCTACCAAAGACTCCACCAAAGCGAGGAACAAGTACATGCAAGTTCACCTATTAAGCTAGAATCTTCACCGGCCCCGAAAAGAAGAGGTTCTGCCAGCTGACATCCTTCGGTTCTGCCAGCTGGGTCCCTCAGGCCCGCCCCCGTTGAACACCTCGCAAAGAACCGGTCAACCGGCAGACCGACCCATGTCTACAAGTGACTGAAAACCAATTGGGTACAAAGTATTATAGCATAGAGATGCATAGAGGCTCTATTCCAAGAAACAACCCAAACAAAAAAGGGACGCGGCGAATGCCCTGATCATTGTTTTTTGGTGTCAAACCACGGCCGATATGTTTGGAAGGTGCCCCTGTAAGCCACTATAGTCACATATAGTCACTAAAAACCTTCCATAAGTGGAGACCCCGAACTAAGACCCTGAACTCCTTCCATAAGTGAGTTCATCCATTTACAGTGGTTTCAGAGGTTCGATGGCACAGACCGAAACCGAATGTCCTGATGAATGGGGGTTCATATAAACCACCGCCCACTTGGGGTCTGTGCCATCTACTTACTCTCAATCCACTATAACCAGGAATGGGGGTTGGTCTGGTAATGGGCCCCTTGCTTCACCAAGCGTCAGTACAAAGGGATCGGCCGCCGTGTCTGCCGCCCGTCCGACTGCCACACGGTCATCACTCAGGTCGACGGCCACGGAGCGGCGGAGCTGCCCTGAAAGCCGCGAACCACCACTGCTGAGCTTAAACACCGTGTAATCCAGGTTGCCTGGCCCAATTCAACCAACAAAAACGGAAGCCGGGCGGATTCCCAGAAAAACTGGCAGAGCCTGGAATGGGGGGTTCACTGGCGTGCCATGAGCTTTTCAGTGTGTAGTCCTCGAATGAAACCAGTTCTTCCATTCATTGGACTTTTGGAACGGGGAATGGGTTCTCTTGTATTCTCGGAGCAATGAACCACCCGCTGAGCTGTTGAGCACGATGTAATTTTTCGGTCGCCTCCTAGTCATTAGTAGGACTCAAGCTGTCCGACCGGCCAAACTAATCCTGTGAATGCATCGCGAGGTGATCAAGCAAATCCAAATGAGCATGTAGAGGGTTGAGGCTTCGTCTTGGTGGTGCTCCCGAGTTTGGACTTACTTTTGGACCTGATCTGTTCATGTCGTTTCTTCCACGTAAAGAAGGTTATTTTTGCAGCGGGCACCACTGAGACAGTTCTTTGGATGGGGTTGGCACCCTGGTTGAGCCATGTAGGTGGCCTTCTTGCTTTGTGCTTCCCATGTCTAGCAGTCTAGGACTCCAATCTGCAGGCCAAGTGGAAAGCCCCTAGTGGAGAGGTCTAGCTTAAGGCGGCTGGATAGGGCTTGGTGATGCAAAGGCAGCCAAATGTCTTCATGGTCTGTGGCAGTGATTTTGGATTGATTCAATTCCCACCTGACCTTGAGGTGACCGTTAACAAAGTCCTTTTTGATGAAAATGGCACCATCAGCGTGTTCGGAACAAACAACCCACGATCCACCCTGCTTTCTGGTGGACAATGGCTCTGAACATGTAGACCCAACTGTGGGAGGTGGACACGCCGCCGGTTCAGTATTGTAGGGATTATGTAGTCCAACACTTCAATTGATTCAATTGTATGTGGATTATGTGGGGCTTATGTATAGTCCAACACTTGGATTATGTATAGTCCAAGACTTCAATTGCTGTATGTGGATTATGTAGGGACTATGTATAGTCCAACACTTCAATTGTATGTGGATTATGTCGGGATTATGTCTAGTCCAACATATTGCAGGGATTCTGTGGATCGAACATGTCCAATTCGAGTGTTTGTTCCACAACCTTCACACATTGCAATGTTCCTGAAAGGACACGCGCGTATCGGTCGGCTCGATTCGGGTCGTTTGTTGTTGCGGAGACTCGAGGGATCCGTCCGCAGAGGATCGGTCCCGCAATTGTTCAAGTCTCCAAAAGCCACCAAAGGAGACCTGTTGGAGGGTCCTGGTATGCATTTATGACCACAAATGCCATTACAATGCATATTCATTGAACAATTGGTACGCAATGCATATTTATGACCACAAATGCCATTACTTATGTATGCCGTTAGTATTTAATGACTTCAGTATTTATGACAACACAATGCCATTACCCAGGTGAAGTGTTGTGGGGTGATGGGACCAACGGCACGTATCACTGCGGACGAAGAGGGGGCCCCCAAGAACTTAGAGTCCAATCCCATTGTAGAGGGTACCAAAAAGTATTCAAGGTTCCAATCCATTAGTACCATACAATGGTATGATATCTCTATAAGTTCTACAAAACGTTCTGGGATCGGAGAGGGTATGGCATTCCTCCGCGATTCGGTACTGCTCCAGCCGCACCTGCACGCCCGTGCTTACCCGGCCCAGTGCTTCACCCGGCCGTTGGTTCCAGAGAGTCTGCCGAGACTGACCCCTGTA